CTTTCCTTTCCTTTCCTTTCCTTTCCTTTCCTTTCCTTTCCTTTCCTATCCTATCCTATCCTATCCTATCCTATCCTATCCTATCCCAATCCTCTTTGTAATATTTAAAGCTAAGTCATAGGGAATTAATGCTATAAATAAAGGATTTTGTTATTCGGGGGGAAAAATTTAAGGACAGAAATGAGAATATGAAATCATATAAACTGACCACAGCCCCATATCTGCTCATACATGACTAGAAATAGGAAGAAATGTCAGTTTTTTTCACCTCTTCCAGTTACTCACTAAATGATAAATCAGTCCAGATTGGGCTTTTCAGTTCTAAGGGGTTTTTTTATTCACACCTTTATTACTTTATAAGTAACTCAAGATGGCAAATATACCTATTACTCTTTCCTCTTCCTATTTTCCCCACAACAATTCTGTTAGGTGGGTTGGGCTGAGACAGAGTGATTGGCCTGAAGCCTCTCAGCCAGCATTCATGCCCGAGACAGGACTAGAATTCACCATCTTCTGGTTTCTTAGCCAGCACCTTCACTACTGCCACAATCAGTTTAACAATAGTTATTCTTTTTGGATAGCCACAGAATTTGGCTATCCAAATTGAGCATAGCAAAATTTATGCAACGATCATTAAATGCAGCAGATCGAACAAAGTAATATTGTGATGGCATTCTTTACTATATATTTATGTATCTCTGTGGGTTTGTGTATCTGCATAATAGGCACTTTTAGGATCAAGCTTAAGTTAAATTATAATAATAAATTCTCTTTGCAACAAACTACCAAAGCAGAAAGAAAAAGGAAAGGAAAAAAAATGGGGAAAAGGCCCATTCGCTATATGTGAATAAAACAACCCAAACAAAATTTCAATTCTCATTTCCTTCAGTCGGAGAATGAAGTGTGTTTTTGCTCAGTACTTGGATTCTAAGTGGCTTAGATGTAGTCAAATAATTCTATGGCACAGAACAACCTTTTACTGGATCTTTAAAAGCACATGAATCATATAGCTAATCTTTCCACATCTTCTAAGGTGAATATTTGAAATTGCTTAAATTCACTTCAAAGGCTGCATCCTACTAGCCCATTATAACATGTGCACTGAAAAATACCTTAGATTTGTTTGTGCAATAGAATTTGGTTTCTTTCTAGAAAGCAAGCACACAAGCAAGAAAACTTTTTTTGGGGGTGTTATAATTCAGAGAGGAAAAAACTTTTTCCAACAAACTGACCTCTCCAGAAGCTGGGTTTCTTTACAGAAGGAATAAATGCTATGCTACCTTGTAACTCAATGACGAATATGGTTTACACTATTGTATTTGACCAGTATCTTGAGATTAATACAAATCTGGCTGCAAATTATTTCCCAACTATCTCATTTTCCAAAAATATCACAGCATCAATTGAACATGTCAAGTCCCACAACACTCTTATTTAGGTTTCTTATCTTCATCTGAAAACTTTTGACAATACCATGGATACTAGGAACTTTTTCCTAGTTCAAGCTTCAGGATAAAATCCCAGAAAATTGTCAACCATCTTTCTCCAAGTTTATTGCTTTGTCCAAAGTTATATTATAATAATGTTTACAAATCAACAAAGATGGAACAGAATGGAATCAGTGTTCCATGTCTGCTTTGATAGGCTTCTGTTATGCAGTCATTCTTTTATATGCAGAAATGAGGACCTATATTTTCATTAGATACAGATAATCAGAATTGGAAGGGAACTTGTAGGTCATCTAGTCCAACCCCCCGCCCAAGCGGGAGACCCTATACCATTTCTGACAAAAGGCAGTCCAATCTCTTCTTGAAAGTCTTAACTGATGGCACTCCCACAACTTCCAAGGGAAAACTTCTGTTCCATTGGTTGATTGTTCTCACTGTCAGAAAGTTTCTCCTTATTTCTAGGCTAAATATCTTCTTGTTCAGTTTCCCTCCATTACTCCTTGTCTGGCCTTCAGGTGCTTTAGAAAATAGCTTGACCCCTTCCACTCTGTGGCAGCCCCTCAAATATTGGAAGACGGCTATCATGTCTCCCCTGGTCCTTCTCTTCACTAGACTAGCCAAGCCCAATTCCTTTAACCGTTCTTCATATGTTTTAGTCTCCAGTCCCCTAATCATCCTTGGTTGCTCTTCTCTGTACTTTTTCTAGAGTCTCAACATCTTTTTTATAATGTGGTGACCAAAACTGGATGCAGTACTCTTATTATACAAGCATTATGATGTTCCTTGCACTGAGACTCAACCCAGAAAAGATTCAGGGGACAGGTGAGTTGCAAATCTCCATCTGATCAAGAGAAATCAGAGCTTTCCTTTATGTCCTCCTATATAAAAATTCAGTCCTCCCTTCCACCTCAACTTCTGATTACTACAGTACAACCCTAGAGGCTTTGACTATTTTTCAGCTACACAAGCAGCACGAAACTACAGTAATTGCCTTGAATTGTTTTAAAGATTGCTGCCATCATCCCCTAGGAATTAAATTAATGACTAGGTTCTGTCTGCATTTGTAGATACTATATTCTCTGCCAGGACAACAGCTTTTCCTTATGAAGTTGTCCAAGGTCCTGAAAATGCTGTAATTATCTTTACAGTATATGCGCTGTTTTACCTGCATACTCGTGCTCTGTGCCGTTTAGACTTCTGGGAAGTCACAATAGATGTTCAGGGACTTATTAGAATAGTTTCAAATAAAAGCTTGCAAACTTTTAAGAGCTGCTGATTTTTTTTCCCCCCTGTCACAGATGAGGGAGGGAGGGAGGGAGGGAGGGAGAGGGAGAGGGAGAGAGAGAGAGAGAGAGAATGGCTGACGTTCAGAATAACTATCTATCTCCCCACATAAGACACACAACTATATTGATGTACGATGTACAAGAAGAAAAAGAATAAGGATGGAATCAGAAAATATATTTTATTTCTCCTGTGTGCTATCAGTATTCTTGACAAGAGTTGTGGAAGGTATTCAAAAGGAATGGATGCTGGGAATTGAGAGGACCATGAGCAAAGCATTTGAGATGATAGGTAGGTAGAGTGGGAGGGAGGGAGGGAGAAAGGTAGAGAAGGAGAAAGGGACAGAAAAGCAAATTCCAAACATCTAATTATTTTGGAAAAAAGTTCAATTCTTTCTGATTTTCTTCAGGAAAAAAACTTCTAAACTAAAGAGGCACATTCCCCCTTGCCCATGTTTCATTGAACTGAACAACAAACTCTATATACATCTCAAAATTCAGATGATGGCTAATGAACTCTAGACCAGAACTTCTATTGTCTCACAATCATTCCATCCCACTTTTCAATTGCACCAAGATATCAAAGAAGGACTCCAAATACTTTTTCCATAGCCATCCACGTGATCCTCCTGGGCAAGCATTATATGCCAACTGAATATCTCTTTTCAAAGCCTTGGGAAGAGGCTATTACCGGTTTTGCCATCTGCCGCCTTTCAAACTAATGCACTATGTGAAATTAAACACAGAGCTAATACTTTGTTGAAGACCCAACAATGACTTTTGGTTCTAGAAACTAGAAATGAGAATTAAAAAATAAGAAATGAGAATAAACCAAGAGAGGCAGTCAGAACCCTTGAATTTACACTTCAAATGTAAGCTGAATTTTCTTAAGCAAATGTATGCCCATTTCTTATAGCAGTTTCGGTTATCCTAGGTAGAGGTTCCTATACTTTGATGAAGGTTAGAACAAGTTAATTGGCTACAGGGATCTTTGGCAAAGCTCAGACCTACTTCCCATGCAACATGGATGATTTTCGTGAATATCATCACTATTACTTGCAGAAAGATCCATACCAGTTTAAGTTAAGGTACCACTTCTCCAAATTTGACAACAAATTATCTTCTGAAAATTTCTCAACAACACAACAGCTGTAGCTAAGTTCCCTTATGCCTGTAACTGATTCAAAATAACTAATTCATACAGCAAAAGGAAACCTCATGAGCTATTTCCACTGAAAAGAAGGGAATACTTTGCTCTTAAGAGATAGACTTCCAATTTACCTATAGTATGTTCTTAAAAATAATTGTATATTTTACTTTAAGCCATCCTTCTTCCCATCACATTCAGCAATATTTTTTAAAAAGCTGCAGCTTGCTCAGATTTCATATTCTCTTGGTTTATAAACCTTCTGTCTGCAATTCAGTCATGCTTTCAGAATTATCTTTATTTCAAGATTTGAAACTATCTCTTATCTATCAATAAACCAAAAATGGGAAGCAATAAAGCTAACACATCCAAAAGCTTTAAAGAGATGCAGAGCAGGGTACAAGCGTTTTCAAGAATTGACAAACCCACAGATTAGGATTGGAAGTATGGTCCTTTGGGAGAATACAGGTAAGTTCTTGACTTACGACCACAATTGGGCCCAACATGACTGTTGCTAAGTGGGACAGTTGTTAAAGTGAGTTTTGCTGTATTTACAATCGTTGTTAAGTGGATCAGTGCAACTGTTAGTGACACGGGCATTGAGTGAATCTGGCTCCCCAATTGACTTTGCTTGTCAGAAGGTCGCAAAAGGGGATAACGTGACCCCTGGGACACAGCAAAGGTCATAAACATGAACCGGTTGCCAAGTGTGAAAAATGTTCATAAGTCACTTTTTTCAGTGCCGTTGTAAGTTCGAATGACCATTGAATGAACGGTTGTAAGTCAAAGTCTCCCTGTAGGTTTCTTTGATGTAAAGTTGCCAATAAGAGTAGGTCAAGGATAAAAAGGGATAGCATATGTGAAGAATGCAAGCACATAAGGCTGGAGATGCCCTTGAATACCTATAGAAGCATGCGTCAAGCCCGAAACTGACATAAGTGTAGCCATTTTAGTTAGGCTTAGTATATATTCTTTTTCTTACTTTCTCTGTGGAAGTCATGGGGAATGTTTCAGGCTTGGCACATTCCTAAGGCAGGGGGAGGAGTGGAGATAGAGTTGTTTTGGCTAGGTGATTCTTCTTCCCGTGGGAAACAAGCTGTTTGTGCTGGGGCCCCTTGAGGTGGAGATTTATGTCATCAAGCAATGTTGAATTACTTCTATTGGAGAATGTGACTTTTGGGGGTTGTTTCTAACTTTAATATTGTGGGGTAATTCCGGGTTGTGTCAGATCTGGAATTGCCATGGATTTTGCCAATTTGATGCTTTCTTAAATAAAAGAATTTGTTTTGGAAGATGGACTTTGGTTTTCTTTTTAAATGGATTTCAACACTTGGAAACCTGACAACATGGCTCTGGATGGCTGTTACCCTGCAACAAGATAGTATTTGATTGCCTGTTCAATTAATGAATACATGACGTTCATTGTTCGAATACACTTTCAGTAAGGAACAAGGGTGATTTATGTCAACACGACTTTCTCTAGCTTGGCAAGCCCTGGTTCTGATTTCACTGGCCTCAAATGTTATGCAGGTAGGTCTCAACTTACAACAGTGTCAGCCTTGGAAGCTGTTTTTTTACTTGGAAGCTTCGAGGCTGCCACATTTCAGTGCCTGGGAATTTGGGAGGGGGGATTTCATAGTGAGGTATGAGATAGACTCAACAACATTCTTTCTCAGAGAGTCAAGGACATGTTGCCCTGCACCTGGAGAGGAGTGTCTGGAGGGATGTCTCCAATTCATGATGATGATTTGGTTGGGCCATGTGATGAACTGATGGATGCAAGGGATGGATCTTTGATTTCCCTTTTGGGAAGGGAAAAACCCAGAACTCTCAAATTCAGGATTTGCTAGACGTGCCAACAGGACAATTCTTAATAAAATGGAACTTTGAGGAAATGCTTGTCTCGGAGTTGATTGGTTTAGAGTTGGTTAATTGGAACGCTGACAAACAGCTCATTAAAGTGACAACAGCACTGGAAAAATTTGACTTATGACCGTTTTTCATGGTTCTGGCCTTTGCAACAAGATCGTATGGTCAAAATTCAGGTGCATGGCAACTGGTTCCCATTTATGACCATTGCTGTGCTCCAAGGTCATGGGATCCCCTTTTACAACCTTCTCACAAGCAAAGTCAATGGGGAAGCCAGACTATTAGCCACAACCGGGTTACTAACTTATCAACTGCAGCGATTCCCTTAAATAATGGTGGCAAGAGTCAAATTATACTGCACAAGTCAAAAAGAGGGCTGTGAAAATATTTACAGACCCCTCAGTAAATATCCCGGACATAAACTGTTTCAACTCCTATCCTCAAAATGAGGCTATAGAGCACTGCAAACCAGAACAACTAGACACAAGGACAGTTTCCCCCCGAAAGCCATCACTCTGCTAAAGAAATAATTCCCTCAACACTGTCCAAGTATTTACAAAATCTGCATTATTATTACTATTAATCTTCTCATCACTCCTTATCACCCATCCCCTCCCACTTGTGAATGTATGACTGTAACTTTGTCGCTTGTATCCTTATGATCTATATTGACTGTTTCTTAGTATGATTTGATTGCTTATTGTACCCTATGATTAAGTGTTGTATCTTACGAGTCTTGACTCTTGACAAATGTATCTTTTCTTTTATGTACACTGAGAGCATATGCACCAATACAAATTCCTTGTGTGTCCAATCACACTTGGCCAATAAAGGATTCTATTCTATTCTATTCTATTCTATTCTATTCTGTTCTGTTCTGTTCTGTTCTGTTCTGTTCTGTTCTGTTCTGTT